TTAGCTGCCTTATGCTGGATAAGGCATCTTCCTTCATAAAAATCTGATGCAATGGGTACTTTTGCTTGTCTCCTCTATCACATAAGGCCTCAGGTGGATTAGGAGGTTAGGAGGCACGCTATTGTTCCTCAGCTGAAATTATCCAGGATTTCTCCAAGTTAAACATGTCCAGGTCTGTGTGTAGAAGACCAAGTAGAAAATATAGAAAATACCTGCCCAAGGAATGGTGGAGTGGCCCTGAAATAATGATCTCTGCCACCTGGCTTTACCTGCTTTCATACTCGAGAAATTAGAGCCTGCCTTAAAGCAATATTTAGCTCCTATCTTACACACAGTTCTCTGCAATAAAACACGGGTTCAGAATGATGTACAAGTGTTAGAAAGGCAAATTATTTGTTGGTAGAATTGCTTTGTTAAGGTTTAGGGCTTGACATGTTTCAGTGTCCTCAGACCTGGAGGGAAGTTAACAAAGCTTGGGGAGAAGAATGTATTGCTGATAGTGGACACAAAGAACGCAGAAGTTACAGGCCACGACGACTTTTGGCAGAGCTCTCAAGATAAGGAAGAAACTGAAAAAGCCAACTCAGCAACTGTGCTGAAATCAGCTCTAACGGAATAAAAGGTAATTCTGGCAGAGGGAGATTGTGACCACTGACTCATGGCCCACAGACTCAAGAAACCCACCAATTCAAAAGAAGAGGATGACTGAGCATGCAGACTAATTCAGGTGAGAAGCGAGAAAATCATTTAACCAGTAGAAGATAGAATACTAATTAGTGAGAGAACTAAGTAACTTGTAGTCAACGAACAGTGATTTATTTGTTTGTTAAAAAGTATAAATAGTGTAAGGTTTTGATGACTTGGGGGGGCGGTCTTTTGTGGGTTACCGTTCAGCTCCCTACTTTGTGCAAAATGGAACAAAGAAACAGAAATACCTTGTCTCGGTGTATAAATTGGCCCTGCACACGGGGCAGTGAGCCTGCATTCAGGATAAGAAGAACACAAGTGCAACTTTGGCTAAATCCTAGAGAAAATCTCACTCTCCACCTCCAGAAGACAGCTTATCGTGTACCTAAAAGAGAGTCAAATAAGACATGCCTGTAGACAATTTTAACTAAGGAAAGAGGATCTTGGCAGTTTATCACCATGCTTTCAAGTGTTACTTTTATTAGGGAAAATGTTAATTGAGCTAGTTTAGTTAGTACCTGTGAAGTAAAAAGTCAACCCACCCAGGTCTTCCTTGTGTAAACCTTCATCTCGTGTTGTCTCTTTCCCGTGCTCTTTGTAGCACTGACTTCCCAGTTCTCAGCTGAATCGTGCTTTAAATATCCACAGTGTCAGAAGCTACCTTATGTCACCCCATCTGTGAAAACATGCAGGCAGAGCATTTGTTTTTTGCCCAATTAACTAAAAATGGATAGACTAAAAGGAGTATTTCACTCTCAGCTTTTAAAAATATAACTCACAAAGCCCAAGTAGATATTTAAGAGGAACAACTGCAATTACAGCGGCCAGGTAATAAGCATAAGCAATTTATACAGGTTTTAAACACTGTAATATTTCTGGCCTGTTGGCAGGAAAGTTTTTTGTTTTGGTTTGGTTTTTTTAATTCAGAATTTTTGAATAAAATCATTTTACTGTACAGAAACAGTTGATGATTTCAGTGTGTGTGTGTTACCTTTAAGATAAAGTGCTACTTTTCTCTCCTGCTGCCTTCCCCAGCAAAGCAAAAACACGGAACCAATTTTCCTGAATTTGATTCACTGCTTGGTAGGGCACCTGAACATGACTATGGTTCAACCATGTCCCCAGGCCCTAGGTACAAAGGACACTAACGTGATTCTTACCACTGGTAAACACGGAGATGACACTGGTCCTTGTAGGCATCCTAATCAGTTGTACACAATAAATATTTATGCATGATGCAGATTGTTTTAAGGAGATGGGGAATGCAAACTGGTGAGGAAAAACAGGGAAGAAAATACCAAGTTTGCTAAGTTGTTATCCAGATTTTCATATGCAACAGCTGAGAGAATGGAAACAAGAGGATATTTACATGTTCTGGCCTACTGGGAACATAGTAAAAGGCGGCATTACATTCAGGAATGTTGCCTTGTGTGCAAAGCAGGAAACCACTTGTTGCTTGCTCACCAGGCAGAGGAAGGGAAGAACTTGGTATGAGAGATTTGTGAAAACCTAACAGTGGAAAGCTTATGCCTAATGATTTCACTGAACAAGCTTGTTGCACACCTTTCTCAAGCCTATAAACAGCCCAGCACTGTGTAATGGAAACACTACGGCCATTGAAAGAAAATGTGTGGTGAGTTACACCCTCCTGCGCTCTTAAAAACTGCCTTTCTGAGAAAAGAATTTAAGCCAAAGGATTTATGGAGAAATAGAAGGAAATTTCCTTGTTTTATCATTCATGTGGTGTGAAACTAAAAGCTGGGATACACAAATGGGAAAAATCCCCCTAGCAAAGGGACAGGTACTGTTCTTTCTCCTTTTCCAAAACTCTGAGTCACTGTCTCTGTGTTTAAGCAAATACGACAAAGGAAGTTTAAGCTGCTTTTGAAAGCATTAAACCTTCTGGTACAGATGGTTGCCTTTCTTTCATTATCACCATCTTGTTTAGAGTATAAAGCAATTAAAAAAACCCTCTCCAGTCCTTGCCCACATTAACAAGACACATGCAGATGAGATTAAAAGTGCTTCCTTTTCCATGGGAAAATGAGAATGGATGAAAAGGTTTCATGCAGGGAGTACAACACATAAATGGACTAATGCACACAAATCACTTTCCTGCATTTTGCCTCTGTGGAGCTTTGGCTTCCAACAGTAAGAACAGTTTTTAATAGACAACTTGAACTTGGGCAGCTCTGCCAGTCTCAGCTACATAAATTGAAAATTTCATATGATTCATCACTTCAGTACCAAAATAAAAGCTTCCCATCAAAAAGCATTTGTAACAGATACTACTCTCTCTGAGTTCTTGTACAAGATCAACACTGCCATTCCCAGATGTTCAATACCATCTGTGAGCTGTGCATAAAGCACAGCTCCTGTTCACCATTCTGCGTGTTGGTAGACAGACCTTAGACTGGCAGGCAAGAATTGGAGGTACAATCCTCTCACTTCACCACTCTCTGCCACGTACACAGGGAAAGACAGAGATACCCCTAGACCTCTAGAAGAACATGAATGAGAAAATACCAGGAAGTAAAAGTGAACCCAAGTTCCAGGCAAAATTGCAGAGGTGAAAGAATGTTCTGCTCGACAAATTTTATCTTAGCCACTTGCTGAACTGCAATTTTCTCAAATTTACTTGCTCTATAAAATAATTTGCTGAATTGTTTCAGGGAATCATTTCAGGCCTTCACGGAAATCCAGTGCAGTTTTGGACACTTTAGCTCTGTGCTAAACTGTCTTGAACTATTTTGCTCAATTATGAAAGTCATGTTCACCTTTCTAATCCCTGACTACACAAAAGTAAAGACAAAACCAAAGCTTCTTCTTGGCTATTCAGGTTAGCAAGAACAAAACCTGCTTTTTATGACTACTCAATTCAAATCCTGGCTTGTGTGGTCATTACTGATGAGAAAGCAAACACAGAAAATGTTCAAGCAGTAAAAGTAAAATCTTTTACAAATGTGAAGGACTATTCCAATACAGTATCTTTATGAAGAGCATTACTGCATCCATACAATAAGATAAACAATGGAGAACCTTAAATGGAGAATGCCGTCTCATTCCCTGCTTTCAGCTGAAACACAGTTTGCTCATAAGTCAAGAAAAACTCCATGTTAAACCAATTTTAAACCAGCAGCAACTGCATCCATAATCACACTACATGTGATTCTGTGATTCTGCTGTTAAAAACTATGTGAATGATTCATGCCGCTGTAACAAATGTAATCATCTGCAAAATAACATGACATATGCAGTTTAGATGCTTCATTCTTTCCACACCATTCTATTAATTTGTTTGTTACAGCTCTTTCTATCTCACTTTAATGGAAACACAATCTTTCTTCCTGAAATTTTCTTTAACAAACAGAAAAGTTGTCCATTGTGAGAAAAAGCACGAAAGCTCCATAGGCATGAATTGATAATTTTCCTCTTCACACTTAAATTCCACGCAGAGACCCTCAAAATCAATCACGTGGTGTGGAGGAAGGTATGTGCTGCCCCTACTACGAGGAATCATAAAAGATGCCTTGTTAGTTTAGGTAGCCTTGTGTAAATCACCCTTTTCTAGGAGCTGATTTGTCTCCCACTGGTCAAACTCTAGATTGCACTGACACCAGAAGAAATTTGACCTTTACATTGGCCTTAGCCAGTAACTACCTCTGCAAAGATATACAATCACAGCCATCACAAAATGCCACCCCTTGGTGTGGCAGGAAGAAATACGCACTTGGGCACAGGGCTGTAATGGGGTGACAGTGCTCGATGCTGTGCACCCCTGGATTTACCCAAAGGGATGCCACAGAGGAACGCCTCGGGGCTTTCTTACAGAGGCGGAGGGTTTGTGTCTGCACAGTTCGGAGTCTGAGCCTGCAAAGGAGGATCAGTCTGATCAGTCTGAAGTTTGATGCTGGACGGCGGGGAGGGGGTCGGGGGGGACGCGTGAGAAACCTGAGAGCGACTTGTCCCAGCGCAGCCTGTGAGGAACAACGAGCCCCAGCTCTCCTCAAGCAGCCAGGACACTTCTTACTGCGTTCAGGCGCACGGGGAGAGAGGCACAGACACCGCGTTTCGGGCACCGGTGCCTGGTAATTTGTATGAGTGATTCCCCTCAGCTGCGCCTCCGCCGCTCCCGGTCCGTGAGGGGCGGTCGGGCGGCTGAGGCGCTGCCCGCGGCCGCCCCGCCCCGCCCCGCCCCGGGAAGGCTCCATCGGCCCGCCCCGGGGCCGCCCCCGTCCGGCCCCTCCGCCCCGGGAGCCGGCGAGTCCCCTGAGCCCTGCTCCGCCCTGTCAGCCGCGTCCGCCGCGTCCGCCATGGCGTTCCCGGCCATGCTCCGCCGGCCCCTCGCCGCCGCCGCCCGCCTGGCCCGGGCCCGGGCCGGCCCGCAGGTAGCGGCGGGGGCGCCGCCGGGGGAGCGGGGACAGGGTGGGCGTGGGGCCTCGGGGGGGGGGGTGTGTGTGTGTGTGTTGTGGTTTGCCGGGGGGGGGCGGGTCCCGCCCTGTCGTTGTCGCGACATCCACTAGGGCCGACTGCGGCGCGTCGTTTGGGCGGGAGGATCGGAGTCATTTAAAGTTGGAGAAAAAAAAAAAAAAAAGGACTTGTGAGGTAATCGAGCCCGGGGCTGTGATCGAACGCGATCGTTCGGGTCAGGCAGACCGTGGCACCAAGTGCCGTGTCCGGTCTTTCCTTAAACACCTCCACCTCCTCCCATGGGCAGCCCATTCCAATGTCTGATCACCTTTTCTGTGAAGAACTTCTTCCTAATGTCCCTAAACCTCCCCTGGCACAGCTTTATGTCGTCCTGTCGCTGGTTGCCTGGGAGAAGAGGCGAACCTGGCTACAGCCCCCTCTCAGGTGGTTGTAGAGAGTGATGAGGTCTCCCCCGAGCTGCCCCTTCTCCCGGCTGAACACCCCCAGCTCCCTCAGCTGCTCCCCACGGGACCTTCACCAGCCTCATGGCCCTTCTCTGGACAGAAGTGCTCCTGCAGCGTCCCAGTATCTGCTTGAGTAGCAGAAGGCATCAGGGCGTCTCCTCTTCGTGCAGAAATCCGGCGTGGGATGGGTCGCTGCTGCAGGCTCACCCCTCGGTCGGGATCCCACCGGGGTTTATAATGGCTCCGAGGAGTTGTGACACGCGGGAACCAGTTCTCCTGAAGCTGATTCCCACTTGGTGGGGCAGTGGTAAATGTGTCATGCTGCATGTGTCATGCCACTGGGGAACAAGAACCTTTGGTCTCGGCCATCTGTATTCAATTACCTGAAGAGGAGAGTGTAGCCAGGTGAGGGTTGGGCTCTTCTCCCAGGTAACAAGTGACAGGATGTGAGGAAGTGGTTGTGCCAGGGAATGTTTAGACTGGACGTTAGGAAAAATTTCTTCACTGTAAGGATTGTAAAGCACTGGAACAGGGTACCCAGGGAAGTGTTTCCAGCATCCCTGGAAGTGTTCAAAAAACAGGTGGGCACGGCACTTGAGGGTATGGTTTAGGAGTGGACATGGCACACTTGGGTTAATGGTAGATACAGGGATCCTAGAGGTCATTTCCAACCTATACGATTCTGTTCTGTGGCTTGAGCTGTATGGTGTGAATGCCTGCAGATGCTCATGAAATAAGACATGCCCAAAATCCATCCTGCAGCCACCTCAGTGCAAATATGGGCTAAGGCCAGAGATGTGTCTTGGCCTTCTTTTTCTCAAGTTTTACTTCAGAGGTGAGTAGCACATTCCAGGTTATTGAGACAGTTGCAAAAGTATGCTTAGTCTGGGACCTCCAAAGTATTTTATGTTACATGAATAGAACAAGTGTTCTTGACCAGCCCCTTGGGAAGCAGCCAGTAAGAGGCTAGGATGCAGACTTAAGAAATCTTGTGTTGGAAGGGGATCACTCTTTTCCCAAGTGTTGGCATGTTTTTCTTTCTTTTGCCAACAATATGTAATTTGCTAATACTGATATAAGATTGTAACTAGAAAACACAGTGCAGTGGTGTGAGTTGGTTAGGTAAGGGCAGCAAAGGCAGATGTTGATGTTGCTTCTGTTTTGGTGGCGTCTTTGGTGCTTTGAATAATGTGTTTAGTCAAATATCTTTTTATTGCTTTGACTCTTTGCTGCTGACTTCCTGAGGAAGGGGTTGAGAAAAGGAAAATGCTGCTTTGTTATGAGCTAATAATGAAACAGTTGAGTGCAACAAATAAAAGACACATCACAGTCTGTTGCACTGCTGAAAGGAGTGGCAGCATATAATGGACATGGGAACTATTTCGAAAGAAGAAGTGTCACAAAAAACTTTTTGGAATTGGGCATCATGAAGCAAGTACCCCTCTCCCAACCTGCAGTAAAAAATCCTTCTATAGCATCTCACTAGTTAAAAAAAAATTAGAAGACAACTTTCTGGCTTGAGAATTAGTTTTACTTATTTTTCTGGCTGTCTTCCTTCAGGTACTCCTTGCTACAGGGCCCAGACAAGACAGCAGCGTTTTCTACGAATTTCGCACATACGACATTAAGCCATCGAAGATGAAGGAGTTTATGGAAATGGTCAGCAAGTACTTTCACTTTCGCACAGCTCACTCCGAGCTGGTGGGGTTCTGGTACACGGAGCTGGGAGCACTGAATAGGGTGTTCCACATTTGGAAGTACGGTATGACCAGCAACCCTTTGCACTGCTCTGCTCTCTGTGTGTTCCCTTTCTCGTAGCCTAGAAGGTGAGGGGGATGCTTACCTGGCTTGTATTTGTTCCTCTTACTGTGAGAAGGTGCCCCCCAGAAATCACTCCTGTACTGACTAGTGGACAGCAACTTCAGAGCCTGTCAGGACAACTTTGACATGTTGAGACGGGAGAGTTAGAAATGTTCTTAAGCAGCAGTCTCTGCTCAAAACAGTTATAATAGAGGAAGAATGGTAAAGTGTTTTGCTCATGCTAAATATTTTTAACTTACGGGCAGCTCCACAGATGCCCTTCGAATTTCAAAATGAAAGGTAAAAAAGGAAATATGCACATATATGCAGTCTGTGTGTGTTTGTGTATAATTGTTCACAGATCTTCGCTCAGTGTAATTGTTCTCAAACTTTAGCTTCATTAAAACAGTGAGCACACAGTCTGCATGCTTAAACTCCTTCTGCAGTAGGCCTGTGCTGAGGTAGGAAGTCAACCCACCAGTTCTGACCTCTCCAGCACACAAAGTGTTTTCTTGCAGCTTTAACCTTGGTAGCAATAGGGTTTTTGCGGTGTAAACAACTTTTTTATGTTGTTGGAGTTGGTGCTGACATGGAAGGTGCAGGTAAGCCAAGAAAAGCTACAGTTACACTGGAAACTAAGTGTACTGTCTGTGCTTTTTGTGGAGACCAAAAGAAGTTGGTACTTGGCTAATGGAGAGGTGGGAATGCACACCGGTGTCATTTCCTTGGATACCAGCTGCAGTCCAGGGTAAATCTGCATGTTGAGACAGTGTGCTCATTGAAGTCCAGCGTGTTCACAGTACCTGGTGACAGTAAAGAATTGCCTCTTATTTTGGAAGGATGAATCACAGACTCATAGAATGGTTTGGATTAGAGAGGACCTTGAAGATCATGTAGTTCCAACCTCCCTGCCATCATCAGAGACTCCTTTCTCTCAACTGCGTTGCTCAGGACCCCATCCCACCTGGCCTTGAACACTTCCAGGGATGGGGCATCCACAGCTTCTCTGAGCAACCTGTCTTGGTGTCTCACCACTCTCAGAGTGAAGAATTTCTTCATTATATCTAATCTAAATTTTGCCCTTGGTGTTCAAGGCCAGGTTGAATGGAGCTCTGAGCAGCCTGGTCTAATGAAAGGTGTCCCTTCCTATGACAGGGGAGTTGGAACTAGATGACCTTTGAGGTCCCTTCCAACCCAAACCATTCTACGATTCTAAATCTACCCTTTTTCAGTTTAAAGCCATTTCCTCTTGTTCTGTCACTCCATGCCCTTGTTAAAAGTCCCCCTCCAGCTGTCTTGTGGGCTCCCTTCAGGTACTGGAAAGCTGCTCTAAGGTGTCTCTGGAGCCTCCTCTTCTGCAGGCTGAACAACTCTCTCAGCCTGTCTTCATAGGATAGGTGCTTAAGTGCTTGGATCATTTTTCTGGCCTCCTCCTCTGGACTTTCTCCAACAGGTCCATATCCCTCTTATGTTGGGGGCAGAATCACTTCTCTCGACCTGCTGGCCATGCTGCTTTTACTGGAGCCCAGAATGTGAGAGATTGTCTTCCTGGGCTGCAAGTGCACACTCGCGTTGAACTTCTCACCCACTAGCACCCCCAAGTCCTCCTCGGGGTTGCTCTCAATCCTGGCCTGATACTGTAATTGGGATTGCATTAACCCACTTGTGTGACCTTGCACTTTGCCTTGTTGAACTTCATGAGGTTTGCACAGACCCAGCTTTAGAGCCTGTCCAGGTCCCTGTTTGGCATCCTTTCCCTCCAGTGTGTTGACTGCACCACACAGAATCAGCAGATTTGCTGAGGGTGCACTCATTTCTCTGTCCGTGGCAAAGATGTAAACAGCACTGGTCCCAGTACTGAGCCCTGAGGGGCACCACTTGGACATTGAGCTGTTGATTGCAGGTCTTTGAGTGCGATTGTCCAGCCAATTCCTTACCCACTGAGTGGTCTGTCCATCAAATCCCTGCCTCTACAGTTTGGAGAGTAGGGTGTTGTATGGGACGGTGTAAAATGCTTTGCACAAGTCCAGGTAGATGGTGTCAGTCACTATTCCCTCATCCACTAATGCTGTAACTCTCTGACAGAAGGCCAAACATGAAGTTTGTCAGGCATGATTTGCCCCTAGTGAAACCATGCTGGCTGTCACCACTCACCTTGTTTTCCATGTCCCTTAGTGTAGTATCAGGAAGGATCTGCTCCATGGCCTTTCCAGGCACAGAGATGAGTGAGACTGACCAACCTGTAGTTTGGCAGGTCTTCCTTATGTCCCTTTTTAATATTGGACTGCCATAACTTCTCAAATATGATGGATATGATATCTGCTGCCAGTTCCCTCAGAACCCATGGATGTATCTTATTGAGTCCCATGGGCTTGTGCACCTTCGGGTTCCTTAAATGGTCTCAAACCTGATCTTTTCCTACAGTGGGTGGTTTTTTGTTCTCCCAGTCCTTGCCTTTGCCTTCCATGACTTGGGTGGTCTGGCTGGAGCCAAGGCAAAAAAAGGTCACTGAGTACCTCAGTTCTTTTTGATGACCCAGGCAACCATGTCTCCCCTTTCTTCCAGAGAGGGCCATGCATCTCTCAGCCCTTTAGCCTTGGCTATTATTATTATTTCTAAATTAAAAAAATAATCTGTGAGAAATTTTTAAAGTGCAAAACAAAGGAAAATCCTGTACTTTTTGTTTGTTTCCTAACAGTGTTTTACATCTGTAAGTTACAACATCCTTTCTCATTGGTTCTTCAGACCCCTGCTTATACCTTTTTAGTAGTTAAAAGTAATTGGTATATTTACTTCTTAGTCTCAAGATACTGATATTTATTAAGGTTCTTCCCCTTTTCAGATGCTGGATTTTTCTTGCATGATATTGGAAGCTGTCTGCATAAGTATATTGCTTAAGATGCTGTGGCATCTTAAGCAATATACTTATGCAGACAGCTTCCAACCAGTTGAAATTCAGACACTCTAAAAGTAGTTTTGGTTTTAATTAAGAAAAAAAGAAGAAAAGGTTTAGCTTTTGGAGATTTAACAGCTTTTTATGTAGCTGAAGGTACAAACATTGCTTCTACACTTTTAATGTCACTTTATATAAGCCAAAACACATACTTTTATTAATCCTTTTTCTTGGTAGGCTATTATTTGTTCTGAATTTTTTTTTCCACTTCACTTCATTATCCACTGTGCTGTCTCCAAATCTACTTATCCTTGGTAACTGTTGCCACATCCAGTAGCCCCTGTGGATGTCATATGTAAATGTTCTTTAACTGTAAAATTGGTTAACGGATTTTAACTGTGTTGCAGACTTTCTTGGAAAATTTCATTTGGCTTGAAACCATTTTGGTCTGAGACGTCAAGCAGAATTTAAAGGAAACTTACCACATCTGCTTCAAGCTAATATTCTGTTTAAAAATACCAGTTTCAAAATTAGATAAGTGGCAGCTTGCCTTCTTGTAATTACACATTTTGACTGAGCGTAATGTGACATTAAATGCATTTTTTCCTAGTTTTTTTTTTTGCTTTCTTACAGATAATTTTGCCCACAGAACAGCAGTCCGGCAAGCGCTGGCCCAGGACAAAGATTGGCAGGGAAAATTTATATCTGCAGCTCTCCCCTTGATAGAGAAGCAGCACAATGAGGTCGCTTATCTGGTACCCTGGTGTCAACTTGGAAAGCCTCCAAAAGAAGGGGGTGAGCTTATCTTTTCTTCTGGTGGTTAAAGTTACCGATAGTAACAAAAAATTGGTTTAAAGTTTAAACCAGCTATTGCATGGTTTTATAACCCCTTATGTAACAAAATGCATGTACGTGCACCCATGTGAAAAAGGTGACATAACACAGACAAGGGACAGAGCTCTTAAGAAGGATTTTACCCTAGCTCACATCAGGAACTTACTAGAGCCTTGCTCATTAAGGTTAGTGTTAATGGTCAGGGTTGTGAATTGCTAAAGGGACGTGCAAAATGGCAGTGCCATCCCAGACTTCCTTTGTCTATCCATCAGTGAGAGGGGATTCCCCGGAGATATTGGGGATAACGATTGTTTTCTTTCACAGAGATTCTTCTCTTTTATCAATTTGCTTTGTCACTGATTGTTTTGATTCTCTTGTATAATAGTTTTAAATAAATTCCCTACTTTTTAAAGATACGTGCAAGCCAACCATACTTTGACACCTGACATATGACTGTAACAAAGTCCTGTCCTTATGTATTTTAACTCTCTCTGTAGCAAAAACGATGTTAATAGTATTAACCATTCCCCAGTTTGTGAACATTTGTGGGATTTGTTGCATGAAGTGACAGGGAACAGGCATTTCTACAGCCCTCAGCACGTGCATACATACAGTAATCTAGATTCTTTATTTCCCCAGGATTCTGAATTTTATGCTGTTGTAGTTGAATTTGAAAGTAGTCCAGTTTTCTCCTAAATCTGGAGAGTCGACTTTTCAGACACTTTGTTCCTGTTGTAGTCCATCTCCAGCCCACTGCTGGAAAAAGAGACCAGACATAAAGCAAGTGTCTGGCTTTCTATTACAGTGTCAGCAACCGTGATCTGAAGTAACTACCTGAACAGAAAGAAGACAGGTAACTTTCAGCAGGACTGGAGTTTTGTGGCAAATTATGCCATTTCTCTACAAATAGCGGAGATTGTTTGGCAGAGCAGAGATGCTAAACCTAGTCCTGGTGTGTTGGTTATGCCTTCAGACCTTGCTGTGACCAAATACCAGGAGCCAGTGGATTTTGTAATGTCATAAACCACTTCAATACCAGAAAGTATCACCAGTCTTAGAAAACATCACCTGGCACTGCTCAAGCAGTCAGCCAGATCCGTCAAACATGTATGAGCACTTGTGATTTCTGCAAAGTAGTCTGAATCTCCCAAAATTTCCAGGCAACACTGAAAATTTGCACGGGGTGCTGGCATGAACGGGCAGTTTCCTGCTGACCCCAAATGGCAGGGAAATGCAGTACTGATTTCACAATAAATACATCATGGCCATGACAGTTCCAGGACTGATGTATTAATTTGTATTTCCTTCCCTGTGGTGGTGTTTGCCTTCTCTTCTAGGGGTATATGAATGGGTTACTTTCCAGATGAAGCCTGGGGGACCAGCACTGTGGGGTGAAGCATTTAGAGCTGCAATCAATGCTCACATCAACACAGGCTATACCAAGCTGATTGGTGTTTTCCATACAGAATATGGATTACTTAACAGAGGTACTACTCATTTTTTGATACAGGCTTTGGCAGGGGAAGGGGCAGAGGATGAGGGGCAAGCCATAGTCCTGGATCAGGATTGGCCAGCTTGCTGAAAACATCGGTGTGGATCACTAAAGTCCTGTAAACAGTCCTTGAACCCAGCTTTGTTTGTTGGGTTAACAGGCTTAAGCTCGTTGCCACAATCTTAAAAGTCTCTCAGATTTGATATTAAACCACCAGTGATACCAGTAAAGTATCACCCCACCTCTGACTTGCCTGGACAGTTCTTTCTGCTAACTGCAAGGCTTTTAACAGGTGAAGGCAGATTTCTAGGACTTAGAGTGCATGCTGTATTGCAGCATAACAGTACTCAGCTGTCTTTATTTGTACTTTCTCAGTCCATGTGTTGTGGTGGAACGAGAGCCCAGATCACCGGGCAGCGGGAAGACACAGTGCCCATGAAGATGCCAGAGTCGTAGCAGCTGGTAAGGGATGATTGATCCAGAGAACTCACTCGTGTTACCTGCATGCATGCTGAGAAAAGTATTATTTCTCACTGGAAGTCATGTCTTAATTAAATACGCATTTAATTTCAGTGCGCGACAGTGTCAGGTTCTTGGAGTCCCAGCAAAATGCACTTCTGATTCCTGTGCCGTGCTCACCGCTGAAATAACCTTCTTCTAAAGGATGTAACTGATGGCAGAAGAGACAAGATGGAAGTGCTGTCAACAGGTGACATGGGTTCCCATACCCTCGTGAACTGAGCTGTTCTTCAATTGACCAAAAATGGATGCAAAATGCTGATCACTAGCAATGTAAATCAGCACCCTGCTAGCAGTTGTCACATATGACACGAACCACACTTCACCAATCTTCAGTGTTAACTCCTAAGTTCTTAACACTTTAAAACAGCAAGACCCCTTGTCAAACCTACTAAGTGTTCTTTTACAACACTGCAGTTGGGGATGGTATCATTTTGATAACATACTTTGGTGCTTCTTATAATTTATCACATTGTGGTTATTCCATACTGGTTTAAGAAGGGATGCTCCCTCTTCTATCTTAGCCAGTTATGTTTTAATCAGACATCTCATGGGGATACTCTGTATTAATCCTGAGCAAAGTAAAACATCAGTGTAGCTGGAGTTGGACTTGGGTGCTACAGTGGAGCTGGTCAGGTGGTGTGGAGCACCCTCTTCTGCAATTTATAGGTACTAACTATAAACTGCAGAGCACTTGGGAGGCTATTCCACACGTTAATCACAGACCTGCAACGAGCAATTGATTTAATTTCTCTGCTGAGGTATCTTTTGTGCAGTTTGCCTAATGATTATTGCTTGCTTAAAGTGCATTAAGATCTCATAGAAAGCGCTAAAAAACAGCCACAGGCAATTATGCTTATGTCCAAAGTACAACTTATGTCTCTGTAATGAAAATTCAGAGATAGGTGCTTGAGTTGGGATTTAAACATCCAGAGAAGTTTGTTATGCTCTGCAGCTAGATTTGACAAATAAACCAAACACTGCTTAAAAACACTGTTTTCGTGACTTGCTAGAGACCTCTTTATTTATTAACTTAAGAAACTTAAAGTAGCACTTACCTTTCAAATCTTGTACCATCTTGCTTCCCTGAATAGTACATACTCCATGCTAAGTTGTAGAGATAGTCGAATGTTATGCATCAAAGTTCACAACAAAACAAAACCAAGCAAAACAAAAGCTTCTGTGCTCCACAAAAGAACAAATGCAAAAATGACACTTGTGAAGACCAGTGGTGCTAAAACAGCTTTATTTTTTACTTAATACAAGGCAGAGTGCCTTTTAATACTTCACATAACAGATATTAGCAAATACAAATATATATACTTTTTTTTTTTTGCTTTTAATGAAAATGTCCACTTAAGGATTTAACTTAGAAATTTCAGTTGTGAAATCTCTCTAGATTTTTGCAAAGTTAACAGATATTCCAGTGCAAAAATAGATCCCATTACAGATAGCATAAAGTGCTTGGAACAAAGGGCCAACTATAATTCAGGAGGGAAAGATAAGCACAAAGTGGTGGTTTAACCAAGGGGAAAATCCAACAACTCCTTACTGAAATACAAATGTACTACAAAGAGGGATGCAACATGTCAATAGTACTGAAGTTTAAAATAAGTTAACACCTCAGTGCAGTTTCATTATCAAGAGTGGTTCATATACTGCGTGTGTCTCTAGAGTGATTTTTCCCCAACACATACTTGAACGAGTAAATTAGTGGCTCTCTGAACTTACTCCATGACAAATCTTCGTGCCAGTGTTGCATTATGCTGTCTGTTCAGTACAAACAAGGCAGATCAGAGCTGTGAAATAATTTGGTTAATATCCACATTTACTATAACGTTTCATCACAGATAGCAGACTCTTTAAGCACGACAATCACAGGGCAATAGGAATCAAGAATCTTTTTGTTTGGCGAAGGAAAGAGGATGATGATGATGATGATATAAGTGTTGTTTCCTGATAAATTAATAATTTAGATGAGCAGCTACCAAGAGCAAACCACAGCCCTTTCAGGACCAAATCTGAATCCTCCTAGAACTCGTTCTAGTTCTACATGCACTAGTTTGGTGCAGTGTAGAACTTAAGCCCTTCACTTCGGTGACTTGATGCTGATTTACAACAGTGATTTTTAGCAGTGATAAGCATCCAGTACACGCTACTTGTTTCAATGATACTGCAACATAATTGCAGCCTGTTACCGAGAAATGGCTGTAGCTCAGCTGTTTCTGCAGCTGGAAGTCTGATGTCTTCATCACCCTGTACTCATCCCCATAGAGTGATGCCATAAAGGTAATAACGAAGCACATTTTAAGTGAGGTATTACCGATCCCCTTTACACTCCTTTCACAATCCCCTTAGCAATGTATTACACAGATTAAAAAAAAAAAAAAAAAAAAGGTATGAGAAAGGCACTTCTGCAGAGCCTGGAGTAAGCTCTAACTTTATGTCAAGACAGGACATGGAAGGACTGGGAACTGGGTTTAACTGTGTTTTAAAAATGCTGAGTTGGTCAGTGTTACCAAGTGTACTTGGAAATAGGTCGTCAACTTTCTTCAGGCTCATGCCAGCCTCTTCACTGTTTGCTGGGCTGCTGTGGACATTCACAGAAGAAAATGGTCCATGATTCATTCATGGAGTAGCATCAAGAACTAGTGCAGAAACTGTGTGGGTGTTTAAGGCAGAGATATGACAAAGGAATAGCCCAGGAACTGCACTTAAGTTCAAACCACGTTACCTAACCCATTTCTGAATGTGAAAGCAAGACAGAGGGGCCCTGAGAGCATACTCTCCCATGACTGTTGTACAATGGGAACAAGAATTGGTTGTTCTAACTATGTAATGTCCCCTCTAATATTATTCTGGCCTTGTAAAACTTAAAAAAATTGACTGATGAACTGCAGTGCTACTATCTTGTTCTCCAAGGGGATTTTTAATGAAGCAGTTGTCACATGTATAATGAGTGTATTCTCCAGTTAGGGATCACCTAATGACTGAAACTACACTGCACAACACAAAAAGAAACTTACACGTTAATGTTATACCAGTTTCCAAACAGGAAAATTTTAGGTGAACAACTTGCAGTAATTGCAGATAGCAGCTGATTGCTAGAATCTGGATCCTGGTCAGATCATGAATGCAGCTATCCACCAAATGGATAGAAAGAGAGCATAGCATTGAGGCATAATGTGAAGAAATACTGTGGCTACAAAGATCAACTGAAAGCGTTTTCAATCCCTAGTTACGCTACCTACATATTTAAAGTCATAAATAATACTGTTAAAAAAAAAAAATCTACATCTCATGTCTAGTTTTTATCTGGCAGAGCCAGAAATGGCAACATGCTTGTGCTAAGCAGTAATTTCAGATGATGGGTACCTTTCTGGTGCAAAGCAGGGGTTAAAGAGCAGATACTACAAATCTGAGTGACAGCTCACGACTTAAAATTTGCTCTTGGCAATCATTAGCAGCTTGTACAACTACTGAGTTCGCTGCTGTGGTCCAAACCCTAGGTCTGCTTCTCACCCACTTCCTCCCACTGGATATCCATGCAGCTGCTGCAGTACCTCAGAGGAGCAGTAGAGTACTTAACTACACGAACACCTAGTCAGAGAGTGTTACTGATTGTGATGCTGGTGGGACAATCATATGCATTTGGAGGGTACACAGTTCTGCATATCACAACTTGCTGATGAAGATACGTGGTTATGATGGTCTGTCTCCTGCCATCCCACCTCCACAGTACTGCTTTGTGGCCTCGGATTTGTCACTACTGATCTATACCAGTCTAGAAAAAGCAGCTGGTCAGGTAAGTTTTCTCAGCCTAAGGCTACAACACTGGTGGTGACTTTTCTTGCCACTGACTGTTCTGGTACATTCATTGCCAGCAATGGATGTAGCACCAGCAAATTCCCACTCCTGACATGAATGTTCTAAAAACTAAAACATGCATGTCTAAAATACCTGTAAATAACCACTGGCCCTGATTCCTCAGTGAATTATTTTAGCAACCCTAAGAAAAACATACTGTACAGAACAAGATACAGTATGGTTTAAAGCCCACAGCATCTAGTGGGTGCTTTACCACAGCTTCAGAGTTATACTGTAAGGAGCTAAGTTCAAGTCTTTCACTTGAGAACAGTACAAGACGACTCTATGAGGCACTGCCCCTGTAAAGGAATTGTTTTCATTGCATTGAATTGCATTGCATTGAATGGTTATCAGTAGAGTGTCCAGTTTCTTTTCCTCTAGCTTCTTCTTTGGGAGTATCCTATCCCAGGGAAAGGAAGTTTGCATTCTGCTCATCATTTCTTTGATGAAATTGGCTCACACACAACTTTCTTTTACCTTCTCATCTTGCAGGAAGGAATTAAGGATTGCAATGTCTACCACAGTCTGGTTTTTGTGCAATGACAGGTCCTTGGTATGGTCGTCGTCACTTTGGTCCTTAGCAAAATTTACAAATACCTGCAAGAAAAAAAAGAGCATGTCACATACCACCCTGGATTTTCATAAATTCAGGGCATTTAAACACTGGGCATCCTGAAATAGTCCTGGGATTCAGTACTCTACTTTGTTAAAAGAAAGATCCAGTAAATAAGTGGATTTATTCCTATATCTGCGCACAAAATCTTTTGGCATCCAGGCTACTAAAAACTTACTTGGTCAAGTGTTGTCTGAGAAACGGAGTAGTCTTCTATGTGGAGTCTCTTTTTGTTCTGGGAGAGAATACTGAATATTTTGGCCAGGGAGGATGGTGAAGAAGGAAGCTGGTACTGCAGCATATTCCGATGCTTTTCCTTCAGGACACTTCCAGGGAACGCATGCCCAAAGAACTCCTCAACAGGCTTCAGGTCTGGGTTTGCCCCTGCAATTCTCACCACTATGGTGTAACCATCTCCAAACCTGCAAACAAGAACGCCAGCACGAGACTTAAGTGCTTCAGAAATACAAGCGCAGCTTAAAATCCAGCAGCATTTCCCACAGGCGGAATAGCAACTGGAATGCTGCATGAGGAATTAAGCCTGACTGTATCTCCCTAAAAGCACAGACAACTCTGTGGTGCAAGTGAAAAGAAAACAGCTACCTGTTCTTTAGATGCTGGACACTGCCCAGGCACCTGAATCGCCCGTTGACCATTATCGCCATTCGAGTGCACAGGGCTTCACATTCTTCCATGCTGCAGGAAAAAGTGACTTCATTAGCACTGCAAACAGCAGTGGAGGGCAGAGCAGCCAGGCTGAGCTTGGCATCCAGCCCTGGCAGATGCAAAAGCCGGGGTACGACACAAGTGGGCCGCTGCCTACCTGTGAGATGTGAGCACCACCGATCTGCCCTCCTTGATTACGCTCAGAGCGCAGTTCCACAAGAAACGACGTGCTTTGGGATCCATCCCTGTTGTGGGCTCATCCTGCAAAACGTGTACCAAAAAAACCCAGGTTACGCTGCTACATTCCACTGGCAAATACCTCGTCTTTGAAATGAATTGTCCGTTCTCCTTAAGCATACTGGAAGCACTGAAAATAAGCAAGCTTGACTCATTTTCTAAAAATGAGAAAATAACGTATGGTCCAGATTTTAAATTAGCAAACACATCCTTTTCAGACCTGAGGAGTGCTGCTTATTCTGCAGTTACGGTACGCTGAAATATCCAGTTCTGAAACAAGTTGAAGTCAATTAGCTTGTTTAAATACAGCACAAGTCTACTTTCTCATGCACTCTGAACTTCAGTAGTTCTCATATCTGTCCTGAATTTTAATCCAAAGAGCGGTAAAATATTTATTTCCAATTTTCAGTCGATTACTAAAAACACAGTCAGATTTGCTCATGTCCAGCAGGAAGGCTGTAATTTTTTGTAGGCACAGAAATCTTGAAGATGCTGACGGTTTGGCATCGCGCTCGAGACCCCCACTTCACAGTGAATTTCCAGAAACAGAAGCCCGGAGGCACCTTATAGCTTGCACCTAAATAGGGAATATTTATTTCCATGTGCTACTTGCTCATGTTTAAGTGACTAATGATGTATTTAAACATTAGTTGAACCTGGTTTTTCTGTGCTGCTGAGCAAAGGTTGCAGACTCACCAGGAACACCACGGGTGGCCCTCCAATGAGGGCAATGGCCGTGGAGAGTTTGCGTCTGTTCCCTCCACTGTAATTCCCGGCGTATTTCTCTCCGTATTTCACAAGGCCCAGTTTCCGAATTGCCCACTCGCCAACCTGCGACAGACAGCACAACACCCTCTCGAATCAACATCCACACAGGGAGATTTTCCTTATGAGCTCTGGTTTTGGAAGCAGTTTTCAGAAGGGCCATTCATCCGGGGACATGATGCGCACCAATATGGGTTTTGAAACATCCTGTTCACCTCTAGAGCAGGATATGTGCAATCCTGCCCCTGGGAGGCCTGAAAAGTCAAATGGCTGCAGTTTATCAGCCAGTGAGCATGAGTTTAACGCCAGCTGAGCCGCATTAACCACTGGTCTAGTGCTCTTAGCAGCACCAGCTTCAGAGGTATTTCCTACTCCTGTGGGCTTACAGCAGGGGATGTGGTCACTACTGGCACACAGGAGTCCCACTGTCATGCATCTTAGCCCTTCAGACAGATGGGATCTGTTTGTTATTCAGGAGTAGCCCTAATAGTGCCAGGCAGGCATTGTTGTCCTGCAGACTAAGATGGGAAAGGGATCCAGCTACTGTTTGAATCTCCAGCTCCACAGCCCTTAAATTCTTAAAGAAAGTCACTCAGTGGAGAACAGCTTCCATGATGAGAATGCAGGACCCAAATTACCTATCCTTCCATTTATTACACTTTTCTAGGCAACACTGAAAAAAACAGAACAACTTTTGGGTTGCCCTGAAGGAAAGGGGGGCAGATTTCACCATACAGTACCTTCAAAACCTTCACATCATGGGATTATGTGTCTTGCAGTGAGGGTGCACACAAGAACTTGCAAATTGGTCACTGGGGAGGGTCCTTTGGTGTTTCATTTACCTTGCAGACTTCTTTCTCTGGAACACCCCTCAGGAGGGCAAAGAACTCCAAGTGCTCTCGCCCCGTCAGCAGTTCATTAACAGCATCAAACTGCGGGCAGTAGCCCATGTTCTGATGGACTTCTTGAATGTTGGAGAGGATGCTGTAGAAGAAAAAAAAAACTTTTGTTAGGATTTCAGGAGTACATGCTGTTATTTTAGATGTTAAAGGAGGAAAGTGAAACAGCGGTTTTGGAACCACTGAACTAATGAAAGTACAGGATCCTTGAAGTCCATCTCAGCCAAGTTACTTTTTTCCTCTTCCACTCTTCAAGTTTGTTTTTTTAAAAAAGGACATTTAAATGTGGAAGAGCAGGTATTCAGAAGTGACTACCAGACTAAATAAATTTTCTTAAGGCCACTGAAGTACTTTACCAGACTTGAACAAGGGCTGAAACGGATGCCAGGAGTTGTGAAAGGGAAAAGTGGAAGTGGAGCAATAGCTGCAAAAGCTGGAGGAGAAGGCAGCAGAGGACCTAATTCCACACAAAGCAGAGGAAAGATGCATTGTCTTTCACCTGTTTCCTTTGAGGAAAGCTTCTCCTCCTGTCACATCTGTATCACCAGTTAGCATCTTAAAAGTGGACGACTTGCCAGCACCATTTACTCCCAGGAGTCCAAAGCACTGGGGATATAAAAGAGCACAGTGTGTTTGAGAATGCTGCATCACTTTCAGTGCTGACAAGAGGGGAAGGAGCAAACTGCAGCAGTAACAGCAAAACAATGCGTTTGACAGATGAGCTTACCTCTCCAGGGGGGATTCCAACACATATCCTATCAACCGCTGGCTTTCGCTTCATTCTGTAAATCTGAAACCAGATGGAAAAGGAATGAGAACAGCAATGTCAAAGAACTCTCGTTAGAGCCATACATACTTAACACTCCAAACTTGATCCAATTTTGACCCCACTGAACTCCTCTGATGGTGAACTGCATAGTTCCGTGTCAACAAGTAGGAATGCAGAAGTTCTCTGTCACCTTGGTTAGCTCCTTGATTTCCAGGATGTCACTCTGTCCTCCTCCACTAATTATCCTCTGCCTCTCTCTGGTTACATCCTCATCTTCATCATTCACAGGTGGCAGCTTCGCATAGACAGGCCTGGAGGGAACAATATGACAGAGGCTTAGCAGAAGATGACAGGACCTTCACAGATAATACTCTCCCCATTTTCACAGGGGACACCAATAAAAATGCCACCTGCCTGTAGTGAAGCAGTGGAGAGCACAACCTACCTGGGTTTTATGAAGAACCTGTACTGGATGAGCACTGTGATGAGGAAAAAAACAACACCCTCTACTGCCATGGCAAAGAGATTCCTTCCCACCAGGTCCCACGACAGAGGGGACACAAAACGATTTTCTCCTGCCAAAAGGAGATGAGACACGCAATCACTTTTCCAGAGCAAGGGGAGTGGGATAGCATTTCTTCCCGCAGCATTCACTAAGCTGGGCACCAGGACAACTGGTGATCAGCCAGGTGCACGAGGGAAGGGATAGACCACACAAGGGGCCAGCTGTGGCTGTGTACACATTTCTCACTGCAGCAAAGTTGGGACTTAGGCCCAGAGAATTCAGTCTGCCAAAGAAGAGCTGGATCACCTTTTCAAAAGGTTAGTGAAGCACAGAAAGACTATAACCCAGGTCTGGCATCTGCATGCCAGCAAAAAAGTATATCAAGCTTTCCAGAACCTCAGCCACTCATCACACTTGGCCTAGTGGTCCTCTCCATACAGTTGTCCTTGTGCATTTTTATTTAATTCCCTTAGCTCAAAACACTGGGGTTCTGTCTGCCAGGTTCTCTTCAGTCCTTGTAACAACCTAAAGTGGGTGGCTGTGGACACTTGCCACCTTTGATCAGATCTGTGCTGCAAATTGTGCACTTCCACTTCCTGAAAAGTTAGAGAAGCTTATCCAGAGCAGACTCGAGATTTCTCTGTTCCTTTCAGGCCGTTGTCCCTGTGACACATAATTTCACTCACCAAACCTCTCCAGAGCATCAGCCATGGCCTGGTTTTTCACCATGTCAATGAGTCCCCGCCCCAGGCAGAAGTGGGGGAAGATGAGGAAGACAGACTTCAGAATGTCATTGATGTCCTTCAGCTTCTGTTAAGACAAAAATCAAGTGCCAGTGAGCCACCTGAGCAGAGAGCAGCCACCACCTGCCAAGGGTGACCCATGTCATGACTGACCCCTCCCTCCCTTCCTCAACACTGCAACTCCACAAAAATGCAAGGATTAGAAATGTTCTCCCAAGGGCCGGTGCCTTGGCTCCTCTGAACGGTCAGTGTTGCTGAGTTGCTCAAGACTCTATAAACACAAGCAAACTGCAACAAAGGGAGAGATTTCTCCGAACACTCACAGTCTAAAAGGCACTGTCTACAAACAATAATATGTAAAAGGGCTACAGGTCGAGGAGACCTGGAAGTTGTGCTTGCACAAACTGGTTATGTCAGTGGCTGTGGGCAGCTCCTCCCTCTCCATATTAGAGGCTCCAATACTTTTCCTTTGTTGTCTTCCAGTTGGCTTAGCCCATAGATTGAACTGATAGCAGCCTGAGGAGGGGTTCCTGTTCTGCCAGACACTTATCTTCTAGCATATACTTATTTTTACTGAGCTAAAACAGGCTTTGTTACAAAAGGAACCATCATCAAGGTTCCTTGCACACAGGAGGAGGTATAATCAACAAATAACTCCCACAGGGTCTCCAGAGCTTCCTCCCACAAGGAACACTTCACACAACTGTGGGTCAAATGGGGCTGGCTAAGACACCTTGTCTGTATACAGGCAGGAGAGGAACTTGCACCTTCCCCAGTAGGCATCTGGCTTTGAAAAACCGAATGAGGTGTGTAAATTCCCAACACAGTTAGAGAGGTATCTACCACAGCAGGGAAAACTGGGGGCAACCAAATGCTTGAGTGATTAAATCATCCTTAGTAGATGGATACTGCCTTTCATTAGTAACATACAAACAATTCCATTTGAACATAAGAAAATTGTTCAAGGGGGATTTTTTGTTGGTTTTTTGTTTGTTTTTTTTAACCCGAAGAGTGATTGAGACATGGAAGAGGTTGCCCCAAGGGACTATGGAGAGTCTCCATCCCTGAAAATGCTAAAATCTGATGGCCCTCAGCAAACTGCTGCAGCTGATCCTGCTCAGAGGTTGGACTAGACAATCACAGGAGGTCCCTCCCCCATCTTAACTATTCTGTGAACGTTGCTGAATTGGGCTTTAACCCTTTCCCACCAGAACATGTATTTAAACTGCTGCCAAAGCTAATGGGTACAGGCCATGGCCTAGCTTTTCTGGAGAGCGGGCTGCTAAAGGCAGCGTGGCACCAACATGGAACCAGACTGTAGCAGCACAAGACGGGTGAGGAGCTTTTGGGGGAACATACGTTGTTGGTGAAGAGCTCCAGGACAAAGGTGGCCACGCTGCCGTTGATGCCAATGAAGAGGTTCACGCTGGTCAGCACAACATATGCTGTGCTGGGGATTTTGAACACGAAGGAGGCCGGATACATGAGAGGGGTGATGGACCACCTGGCAAAAAGAAAAGCAGCAATGTCAGGCGAGCACCTGCTGAGCCTGAGCGCCTTCCCAGTCGTTCCCTGAGGAGAAATCTCTTACCCATAGAGAAACAGAAGGAGAGCCAGCACAGGCAAGTTGGAGGAGGATACGTAGGACTTCTGCTGGAAGCAGATGAAGATGATGACGACCAGTGTGGCTGGAACAATGTAGTTGCACTTGAAGGGAAAAAACATGACTTTAGATTTCTTTCCCAGAGAAAAAAAAAAGGCGTCTTCCTGCTCTAATCCAATAGATTAATCAAAACTCTTCAGTGTTCCCGAAGCTGTTTTTAATGTGAAACTGTTGGAAGTGTCATATATATGAACTACAATGCAGCACACATGAATTTACATTTCTTGTTCCCTAGAAAGGGGCTACACAAGCAAACATTTTGGGGCAATTATTTTAAAGTGACGTAATAAATGCTGATGATTGAGCCTTTGGTTGTCTTCCCATCCTATCCTGTGCTTCCTGTCCCACTGAAGTGAGCCACTGCCCCAAGAGAGTGAACACGAAAGACATGGTCACAGTGGTTATTCACTGAAATAACGTGGTGCTCGCTGGCCCAAACTGCACTTTGCACTTCAGAGCAAGACACCCTGCAAAACCAGAAGGGAGGACAGTTTAGCACATTCAAAGCCCTTACCATATCCCAGACAAAGTTGGCCAGCCAGTAGATCACAGGCTTCACACCACTGATGAACTGCAAGTGTTTAGCCTTGCTGACACGTTCTTGAATAAGGAAAACCACAAAGCTGGCAGGAACAAAGGACATGGCAAAGATCACACAGATGGAGACGAGGACATCCACAGAGGTGGTCATCCTGGACAAAAAAAGAAAGGAAGAAAGCAAAGTGCTTGTATGCTGGTGCTGGTTCCTTTGAGATGAAATGAAGCAGCTCATCCAGGGCAAAGCAGAAACTGTTTCTTCTGCTGTTCTTCTGCATCTCAAGGACAACACCACAACCTGCAGACTGGTTAAGAACTTCAGTGTAATAGACTCCTTTCCGCTTTCCTTATCACCACCATTTTGTTTCCTGTCTAATGCATTTTTGGGGGTTGTTCAGTGGTTTGTTTTTTTTGGTGTTGTTGTTGTTGGTTTTTTTGTGTTTTTGTGTTGGTTTTTTTTTTGTTTTTTTTGTTTGTTTGGTTTTGTTTGTTTGTTTGTTTCTTGGGTTTTGGTGTTTTGTGGTGGGTTTTTTTTGTGCTGTTTTAAAGTTCAGAGGTACCTGCCTGCCATCTGCCACTGCTTTGCAGATCTGAAGATGTATCTGCAGACGGGTCCTGACTTGGATAGTGATAGGAGCGAACTAGTCAATGCCTCAGTGAAGTGAACCCTTGAACCCTGCACATTATTGTATGCCACTCCCCAGGTCGAGAGATTGGGCAAAACTGAATAGGATCTATCAATTATTCCTAGTCAAATGGTGGCACCCTGGGACAAAAGAACGACTACATTCATGGTGAGACACGTTTATGAAGGTGGCCAAGAGGAATTTCGTAAGCGGCAGAAGGTCTGAAGGCCACACTAGTTCTTAGAAACTGCAGCTACCAGGGACTCAGAGACAGAGAAAGCTTTCACAGAATTGCTGTTCAACACCAAGTTCTCAGCAACACATGTTGCCACCTGCCCAGACCGGAGAAAAAAAGGCCTGCATGTCAGAGCCTAGATGCCACAGGCATTAGCCACTAGCGAGGCTGAAACCTCCCATGTTGCCTGTTTCCTGAAGTAATCAGCAGCTGATGAGCCCAAACCCACCCATGTTCACATCAGGACTTACAGGGCCACTTCAGAGAGCTGCTGCTTGGTGAGGTTCAGGGGGTGGTTGAAGGCAGTGATCCCGTAGGCACTGGGGTTTTCACCCTGCTGCAGGTTGGCCCGGAGGATGGCATTGTTGATCACATTCAGGAAGGATGCGATGGCATGCCAGCCCTTGTTGTTAAACCACACCTGCGAGAGACCACATCGACATCAGGAAGACGCCAGGTACATCATCTACCCAACAGGCTCCTAAGCCCTGCAGAACATCCCTTCTTCTAGTCAGGGCATATAATTTCTTTCCTCACCTTTCCAGCTAGCTTGCTCAGGGACAGAACACAGGGTTTAATCAGTAAGTACAAAAGGCTGGTGGAAGGCAGAAATGATCCAGCACCAAAATCCTTCCAGGACTTGGAAGAAACAGGCTTTGAGGAAACCCACACAAGAACACAAACTACCTATGTTCCCACAGGGAACTCTGTTCTGCACAGTTCACCAAGGCAAACTGCTGTGTATCCAGGTCACCAGAGCTTCAAATAGCAGGCACAGCAGTGAGGATTGGGTCATTTACCTTCACATTGTTCTTTGTATCCAGGCCTTTCATGAAGCTTGACAAGCTATTGAGAAATCGATCTCCAGAACTTCCCTGCAAACAGAGAAGACAGTTACTTCCCCTCTGAGAATACCCTTACTTATGTCCTGGGGTCTAGCAGGGGTTACACAATGTTTTTTCACAGCTCTGACAGTTTTCTTCCCATTCAAAAGCCTCTATCCACCAAGCTGGAGGTGGTAAGAAGGCTGACAAACTTGAGCTTTCCTCCACCCTTTACTTTCTGGGGTCTCACCAGTAAGAGGTCAGCCTCATACCTGTTTTTTCCCCAACAAAATGTATTAAACAAGGTTGCAGGCAACCTTCAGAGACATTGCAGCCCACAGGCAAGCAGTCTCAGTGGAAAACCAGGGCCCAAGTTCTCTTCTGAGCCAAGGCAGACTCAGTACATGAGGGCTCAATTGGGTTATTGAAAGCTGGTAGCAAACACTTGTTAATTCCCTGAGATAGCCCACACTGTCCTGCCACAAAACACTCGGAGGAGTCTGCAATCTCCACCACCTTGCAACTGTGTGGGGCAGAACCCACATCAGCAACGTGGGCTACACAAACTTCAGCTGAGCGTGTCTCCAAGCCTCCTGCCACTCCCAGACAACTGCCTGGGAGATCCCAGCTCAAAGACAGTGAGGAGAAGCCATAGGAGACAGCTAACATACGCACACTACTCATTTTATGGCTTCTAAGTCCTCTCCCAAGTAACAAGACTGATATTAGTGCATCCCGGGTTTGTGGGGGACAGTTGCTCACCTGTGCTAGCTCCAAGATTTTCTTCACCTGTTTAATGGCATCAGTGACTTCATGGCTTGGAGGAAGCACAAGGGAACTGCTGGCTCCCAAGGAAAAGCCACCATACCTGAAAGTTGAGATAGAAAGTGATGCTGAGACCTGACTATTCACTGATGTCCAGAAAATGCCGCTCCTCCTCCCTCTCCAGATGTATCCTCTTCCCGCACTACATCCAACACAAGTGCCTCCACTCTTACAGGAAAGGATGACTTTGATTTTTCTACATGGTTGCTTAGCCACGGTGTCTTCTGCTCTCTTTTTCTGGGGTTAAATACCCCAGAATATTAATATTAAGAATGCTGAGCAGGCTGCCCATTTAATAAATGCAGTTATGCTCTGCTGCCAGTGCAGACAAAGCAGGATATTTCCCTGATGCCCTTGGTTGGAAGGATAGCACCTCCTAGGACAGAGTACCAGTAGGCTGGTCATGCAAATCTTTTCAAGCCACTACTGCACTCTGTATAAGGTAGAGATGCTTTTCAGTACTCTGGGGTTGTCTGCCAGTTTACCCTTCAACATCTTCCCCCAACAGTCTGGCAGTTAAGAGTCATATAAAACAAACTGCAAAGTGAGGTGGATGTGTCAGGCTTAAAACAGTGCTCAAGGGTTAGTGGACACATATAAGCTAAAGAAAAGGCAGTAACTCACCTGAACTCATTCACCCAGATCTTATTCTTTAAGCTGTAGAAAAAGAAAAGAGAGTTGATGTATAACACATAGAACAAGAGAAGAGACAGACCCATCACTGTTGCAGGCACACGGCCAGGGAAAAGAGTGCAACAGCTCCTCACATCTGTCTCACATCCCACCACTCCTCTTCAGTGTAATCCCTAGGGTTGGTGCCCAGACTTTCCCCATACTCTGCCTACAATGCTCAGGACACAGCATCACTAACAAAGCAAAAACACCCCTTGAGCTGAGGATCGGGGTAATGTGAGGAGCTGAGCGGGCGTGGCTCACTGCTGAAGAATTTGGGCTGCCCAGGCTTACTTGCCTGATCTGTGCATCCCCCATAGAAGCAAGCAACATTTGGTGGGGAGGGAATGGAGAGAGTGTGTTTAACAGCTACCTTTTCCCAATGATCTGGGCATAGGTCTTCACTAGGTAGTCTGATATATTGCGGCCCGTTAGATTCTGGAGGATGTCAGTGGTGTCCTGCTCTCGCTGGTGCCACCGGCAAAAACACAGAAAAAAACGCTCATCAGAAAACAGACAGTGAGTCAAATAAATCTTGTGCAATGCTTCACACACGAGAATCACACCTAGCCACTCTGCTCCTCAGGAACACTCGTCATTGAGCTCCCTCCTACCTGTGGCGGTGGCAGCCCGCCGGCACCAGGGGGGCACACAGGCAGCATCTTCTTGATCTTCTCATTGCTGCACTCACAAGACGGGGAAGGGTTCTCCATGCTCCAGTTGCCTTTCAAGAAGATGTCCTGGACTGACTCTGGGACCAAAGCAGTGGTCCATTCCTTCTGCCCCACAGTGCAAGGAGTGTCTCTGTGTCAGGAAAGAGGCAAGAAAATGCCAGTTTTAAAACAACTATGTTGGCCTTTGCTTACAAGCCATTTAAAGATCAAACTTCACAGTCCTCAGAAGAGGCAGAGTGTTTCTCAAAGGAGCTTGACCTCGCTGAGACAAACAGCTCAGAGTGACAGACCTGGTCTGTGAGGCTGGCCAACACTGAGTAGTGTCATACACTCCCTTCTTTGCATTATAATTAAGTGCTTTATTTCAGTCAGTCCCACCATGCACAGTGCCCAGAGTTCTAGGGTGATGCTCTTAGTCATATGGTTTAGTTCTAAGTAGTCCTGTGAGGAACAGGTACTTGGACTCTATTCTCATGGGCCTCTTCCCACTTGAGATCCTATTGTTCTAAGACAACATCACACGCTTCTTGGATGACATTTCTGCCTTTGGGGCACCAAAACACCAATTTTCCCCTAGGCAGCATCACTGGGCAGCTTTCTCCCCATGCCCCATTGGTGGAGTAACATAACACAGCTCCCACGTCTGTTATAAAGAATGCAGCTTAATTTCCACCTCTAGCCAGACTATTGGACACCTTGCCTCCTTCCCTATCATCTTGTGAACACGAGCTGCAATTTTTCCAGGCTAAAGACAACCATTTAGGACTGTGTGCACCCTCTAGGGAATAGCTATAGTCAAGAACACAGAGCAACATAACCAGGTCCTTTACCATGTTCAGGACGAAGCAGTAATCTGGGGGAAGAGAGTATTGCCTCCTTTTCATCTCCATCAGCAAGGACTTGCACTCAAACTTCACTCCCTCACCATGCTGAGGGTTGGCAACTATTTGAAAGGTTCTGAGCAGAAAAACTGAATGTAATTGCAACTCTTTTGGCTTAAATCCTGCCCTGGTCACACAGTACTATAATTCCCTAAAACCAACCAAATCTACTAGTGCTCAGAATCTGGGGGTGGACTTCCTCTTCCCCAACCAGAGTTCTACTTACGGGATGGAATGTCCCTGCATACAGCGCGTCCCAAAACCAGGCTTATCAAGCAGGGCATCCAGAAGCTTCTGAGTGCCTGCATCTTCAGGAGCATCATTGCTATGGGTACAGCAGAAAAGCATTGTCAGGCCACCGTGTTAACAGGCACACAGCAAAAGCAGCAGCAGGGCAAGGCCAAGAACACAGTGAAAGGATAATGGGTGGGGATTTCCCTTTGAAGAATGCTTGGCCTAGGAGCACACACGCACACTCCTAGTCTCTGCACACTGAATTGTTAAGAGTCAAAACACCATTCAGAAAGGGGTATGGCCTTGCCAGTAGTTCAGAGTTGGCATTTAAAGGTCCAAGAAGAAAATGACAGGTCTTTAAAATGTGCTAAGGAACTCAGTAACACAAGTCTGCAAAGAAGAGAATTTGTAGTCCACAAAGAAACATACCTAATAAAAGTGTACTGCTCATCATACATCCAGGGTTGTAATTCCAGGCTGGGATACTTCCCAAAAGGAGGAACAATCAGGCTGAACATGAGAGCAATACACACAAAGACAGCTGGCAGCACGATCTGAAATTGCAAGGAAAGAACAAGTCCCTTTTTAAGAAAATGTTCCCAGAGGCATCAGGAGTTACATGTGAGTCACTTACTGGATTACTGGATTACAACTTTTTCAAATTTTCCCAGGAATGTCTACGCTGTTTCCACCAAAGCAGTGACAGACACCAATGCAAGACTTATCTTGGCATTTAATCAGGGCACTCACTTGGGGTGCAGAGGATTCAGCCTGCAAATGCTGCTCTAAAGGCCACATTTAGATTTGAACCTCAGTTGCATCCTCGCTGTGCAAGAACACTGTAACCACCTGGTTATCATGCAACTCCTCTCACTCGCACAGGCCTCCTTCTGTTCACAGGTGCAGTGAGGACCACCAGTTTTGGTTATCCACCTTCCCCTGAGGTTTTCGGCCCACCACCCACTCAGACTGCAGTGCACAGTGCAGAGCTGTCCCTGCTGAGGGACTCTGCCCACGCCTGGGGGGTGGGTCTCACCTGGGCAAAGAAGCCCTTCCGGCTTCTCTTGGCAATAAGCATCCTCTTCCACAACAGAGCCATGAACTGCTGCTGGGTGAGCTTCCAGCCCTTCATCTGGTAGGAGCCTTTCCCGTCCATGCCACTGAGAAGGTCTGTCTCTCTGGATTCTGCTAAGAAGAAATGACCCTCACTCAGAAGTTCAGAGATGCTCTCTGAGTACTTCTGTGCTGGAGGCACAAGGTGATGGTGGGAGCAGCTATTCTCACCCATCGAAAAAGAAATAAAAAAGAGCACGGTGAGCAGAGACAACAGAAATTTACATGAATGTGTTTTCTCCCTTATCTCTTGGAGCCTTAATGGGAGGATTGAACAGGCCCTGGATCCTGCACTGTTTACTATTCCTGAAGGCAAATATACCACCACTCCTTTTGCAGCCTCAGCCTTCAGATCTGCATTATTTATAACAGAAAAGAGTATCCACATGAAAAGATCAAGCTTAAGGCACAGCAATACCTGGATCTATGTCTGAATCATTAGGATCAAATGCATCATCTTCTGTAAATGGACGAAGGCAGCTCTGTCTATCTCCAAACACGCGTCTGTTCCTTCTGGCTGGCAACGTCCCATCTGAAAATAATGCAGCTATGCTTAGCTGAACTGCTTCAGGTAATCTCCAATTAGCCCCAGAAAAAACAAAGCAATACCATTTTCATTTTACATGTCTTCTATTTGCAAACTGAGGAGCTGATCTGGAGTCACTCCAGTGCAGGTAAAAGCAAAACGAAGACCCTCACTCTGCAAACGGTCATGTTTTGTTCACCATATCTTGTGTGATGTTCCAAAAACAACTTCTAGTGCACTGGACACTTTTTTTTTTTCCCCACATAGGCAGGGAAACAGCATTGTATCAAAATTTCTCACTTGATACGCATATAACTACAAGTGCAATTTGCTAGCATTAGGTTAACAGGAAATGTTATTATGAGCACTTAGTGCAGTGATCCACTCTCAGAAAGTCATTTGGTCCCTACTGTGGTCTGACCCTGTCAAGAGTTCCTCAGAGTAGAGAGCAATGTCAGTCAAGTAATTTTCAATACACTCAGACAGTAGAAACTCTTCTCTATAACAAAATAAACATACTACCACTGAGTCAACTGAAGTTCACAGTATATAAAAACATGCTTTAAGTATAAATAAGAACATTAAAAACACTAGCACACCAGAGCTCCTGTGCAGTCTCAAACAGGGTCTGTCACACCTGTAGGGGATGTGTCACTTCTGTAGGGGACAACTAGACCCACCTGAGGTTTCTGCATCCACACCGCTGTCATCAGCCACTTTCAGGAAGATCTGAAAAGCAATGGTAAGTGTCATTGAAAAAAGCCAACGAAGGAACAACAATGTGGGGATTGCTCCAGGAGATGCCATGAGAGAGCACAAGACTGACAGGAGCTAAAAGAAAACAGAGGATACAATTTATCCCCTGCATGACAGGGACACGGACTTTGTGGCTTCTCTCCAGTTTCCAGGAGCCAGCCTGTTGCCACACACCAGCCCTTTGCCAATGGCAGTTTTCACAGCATCTCAAACATGAGCTCTTTCCCACGTCTCAGAAGCAGACTTGGGGAATCTCATCTTTCCCCATGTCTGGCAGTGTTCTGACACTCTTGCTGGCACAGGCACCTTTGTGGAGCTTGTCCCATGGACTTCCCCAAGCCAGAAACAGCTCTTTGCCAAACTGCAGGTAACAGCCAAGAACTTCACAGCTGTAAAGGACCTAGAGGGCAACCTAGGTTACAACACCACCATTTCTGTTTCCCTTGTCATTACTTTAAAATAAACAAATAAAAAAAAAAAAGACATTTCACAGACACAGGAGATAAAGAGCATGATAGTTCTGTGATAAAGGGAGACTTGGCTGCTGGAACAAACCCTAAAACCATAAAAACAACCCTGCCAGTGGCCTATGTTGAAATGGTTTCTGTAGTATATGGTGTCCAGTACTGAAATGTATATTTTCAGTTAAGGGCAACACACAGCATCCTCGAGAATAATACGCACAATAAAAGCCAAAGAAGGGGCCACTCTCAGGGAAGTACAACTGAGTACACAGGACCTATCTATGCTTGCCTGTACTACATTTCAGTTTTTAGTGCACAGCTTTATGAGCACACACTTGAACAGGGTGGAAGACAATCCATTTTGGAGGGGAATGCAAAACGGCCTGTTCCATAATAAACTTTTACAGGAAGAGATAAGACTCCATCTCCTTCTTAGTTCTGACATGATTCATTTTGCCTAGTTGAGGACAAAAGAAAATTGTCAGCTCACTAACCTCCTCCAGGGTAGTTTCAGAGATGCCATAGCTGGAAATGCCAAGATCAGAAAGACGGTCATCAATTTCATGGAACAGCTCCACAAAAGCTCCCTCTTTAGCAGCCTTGTAGGGCAAGACATAGGTTAACTCATGGCCAATGTCCTCCACTAGTCTGGCCTCAGGAACATGTTTTGTAATGAGATTTGAAATTGCAGAGACATCTAGGAAAAAAAAAAAAAAAAAACAACAACACAAAAGACAGTTTTCCTCTGGTTACTACTCACTATGTGGAAAGAAGAGCTCAACCTGAAAAATCTTGCCCAAAGGAAAGGAGAGAATACAGACAGCTCTGAAAAGCAGCTCATTTCCATGGAAAGTCTCATTTCTTTTTACATTTAACACTGGATGAAAGCCTGGACCCAAGCTTAGCTATAGTTTTTACATGCAGAATTTGGGAGAGCTTTTACATGCCACCAGAAGAACCCACAAGTCATTGGTGTACAGTCCATCAACATTACAGCTCTAGCAACTGTATAATCTTTGCTTATTAACTCTCAGGAAAGCTTGAATTTAAAAAGGCTCACTCAAGAAAAACATTCCAATAGTTACAGATTTAAAAATACCATCTATGTAAATTTAATAATTGTCCCAAGACTGTAGCTACATAGGGGAACAAGGTTAAGGCAGGTGTCCAAGGGGAACTACAGAGAAATGTCAGCACTGGGATATAATCCTAAATTCTTTTCCAAGCCTCACCTATTGTAAGTGTGTCACTTTCATGGTCACTGCCGAGGCCAGCATCAGAGCTGCTCTGGGAGACACTGTCATCCTGGTCACAAAAGAGAAGACAAACGTTATTTCCTGCTGTTTAACCAAAACAGGGCCCACCAGATGCTACACTCTAAGTCCAGATGCTGCAGACGGTGACACACCACTGCAAAGGGCTAAAATAAATACAAGTAAAACGTCTTTAGGTATAGGAGTGAGTGTTACAAAAGCAAGCACTTCATCTATTCTGTATCTCTCAGATCAGGTTTGGACAACCGGCATTGAAAGAAACTACAGTGTAGATGCACATCCCATGCAGCAGTTTAACCAGACATGGCCTGGCATATTACCTGTCAAACACATAACACTTCTGCTGCTCCAAATAAGTCTGAGATTTCATGAAGAAAAAATAAATACGAGCAGAAATGGTCAGCTGTACCTTTTTCAAATAGGACACTGTGCTGCTGCTGTTTCTGCAGGAGCTCAGAGAGGAATCCACATCCTTCTTGACCAGGGTCAAATAATAGCCTGTTCCCAGGTGGTTCTTCAGGAAGAGAGAAGAGCCAACACAGCAGAGCTTGCCATGAGAAATGATGGCAATCCGGTCCCCCAAAATGTCTGCCTCATCCATGTGGTGTGTGGAGAGAATGATAGTGCGACCTGAAAGAGGGCAAGGAAGATGTTGCTGGTAAGTCAAACAAACCTACGTTCCCCACACCAAAACCTCAATCATCTGGATCTTGCCATGAAGTTGGATGGCAGGTTGATGCCACAAGTTTGGCTCCCTTGAACAAGGCTATGGGAAAGGTTCACAACTGCTGTCATGTGTTTATTCTCACACTCTCTGCTGACCTTTGTCATGCTCAGCAAAGGCAGGTTTAATTTCATGTCAGCAAGGCTGGCTGCACAGAGCAGAACAGAACACTGCTGAACACCAGGGGTGACTTTCAGACTTTAAGTGCCCTCATGACCCAGTAAAGAACTTTGTTCTGAACTCTGAGACTAATAGGATCAGAAAGGAGGACGGGTGAGAGATCAGAACAACCTTGTCCTGCATGGTCTTTGTTCATTCCTCAGTACAGGCAATAATAGATTTGCAGAGACACATGAAACACACTGATTTTCTTTTGCCTTCCACAACACATTCACGAAGAGCAGAGAAAAAGACACGCACATACCTTGCCGGTACTTCAGAAGCAGTTCCCATATCCCCCTGCGAGAATAAGGATCCACCCCAGCTGTGGGCTCATCCAGGATGACAACCTTGGAGCCGCCAACAAATGCTAAGGCAACAGACAGCTTCCTCTGCATGCCACCTGTCAGGCACAAGAAGAAAGAGGCGTTCAGGCTGATGCAGTGACGAGCGGAACAGCAATACTCGCAGCACAGTGGATAATGAGCTCTCTGAAAGAAAGCAGACTGAGAACAAGTACTGCTACTCCTTCAGGCCTTCGAGGTTCCAGTGTGGTCTTCCCTCAGTGGAGTGTAACTCCCCTCCTACTGCAGGAAGCCACACCTCGCATGCCCTTCCATAAATGAATTGTGTATCTCAGCACCAGCGGCAGCAAGTCACAGCTTAGAGGCCTAACCAAACTTGGGGATCAGGAGCACAGGTCTCCAGAGCCTGAGCTGCAGAAATAGGTCCCCGTGAGACCTCATGGAAGCGTTCCAGAGGCAGAAGCGAGGAATTGCATTGCACTCTTCAATACTGAAGCCAACCGTGGTTCATCCACTCTCCCTTCCCAAGCTCACATGTGCAGTCTGTACTGATAGTTGAATAAGACAAAGGCACCTCAGCCTCCCAACTATCTGGTACAGAATGATAGAGGAATCCTGCCCCTCTTGAAACAATGAGAGGAACACACCAGGTCACCAACTGAAGAAGCAGAAGTCTGCATAAGGAATGCACATACGCCTTGGAAACAGCAAGGGACTCGGAGATTATGGTCTAAGCCACTCTCACTTAAACTCATAAAACTCATAAGCTTTTGGAGAACAGATATCACATGCAGCTGGACTGCATCATGATGTAAACAAGTACTAAAAACTCAGAAAAAGTGAGTTACTTTTTATGGCCATTAGATAACCTGAGATAGTGCAAGGTTTTAAAGTTTACTAAGATACACTGATTAGGTACTTAATAAACAACTGATTTCCTTAAGGGCTTAATTGTATAGCAGTCTATATCTAACTACAGGATCCAATAAAGGTCCATAATGCAGCATCTACGAAAGCCAACAGAGCATTTTGGGGGGGTAAGGAATGCAAAAGAACTGAACTTACCAGAGAGTCTGCTTGTCCTAGCTTTCAGTTTGTGAGGCAAACCAACATCTGCTGCCATCTGCTCCATCTCCTCTTTCACTTTCTTTTCCGGCAGCCCTTTGAGCCGAGCATAGAACCAGATGTGCTCCTCCACAGTCAGCCTAGGGAACAGGAGCAGCCTCAGGGCACGGCTGAAAGCACCATGCCGGGATTCATCCCTTACATTAGCATTACAGCAGGCATATGTTTGCTCAGAAAAACATCTTTTAAGGCTGAGCTCTCAGGAAGGAGCTACAGACTGGGAGTGCTCAGCTTGGGCCTGACTGCAGGGTGTGGCTCTATTCACCACCCGTGCGAATAATTCTCCTTTAAGGGTGCTTGACAGAGTAGCCCAAACATCCCAAATCAGTAGGCCCCACCTCCCTTTGGCCTAGCTGAGTTCAGTGGAGTAGATTATTAAGAGACATGAGAGATGATGCAGGCTCTTGCTGATCATTCCACAGGCACATGGGAACATGCTAGTGAACAAAACGTTCCTGTGCCAATCTCACACCGCCCAAGTGTGTCACACCGTGCACACAATAAAAAAAATGACCACCAAAGCTGAAAGCCCACTGCTGTATTCTAAAGAGCCCAGACATCTGTTGGATTACACCGGTTCTGTGTCTCGCAGATGCTACTCACAAGTCAAACAGCACATTGTGTTGTGGACATACACCCAGGTTCTGCCTGATGGTGCTGAGCTCAGAGCGGATATCTTTGCCCAGGATGAAGGCTGTACCCGAAGTTGGGGGGAACAAGCCAGTCAAGATGGACCTGAAGGACAAACAGAACAGATAAGCAGGTTCTTAGGTTCTGCCAGGAAATAGCTGCGGTGCATGCCAGGATGGCTGAATGAAGAGTGGGTGGAAGCCCTGGGGAACTCCCACATCACAAAAGTAGTCTGAAAAACATCTCACTAATGGATTAAAAAAAATCAGCTCCAATGGTTTTAACAGTGATCAAAGAACACCCACATGGCTGCTTGAAGGAAAGATTTTTTTCCTCTAAAAGCTTCTCGTTCTTTTTGTCCAAACTTTCTTCCTTATACTGATTAAGTCAGAATCACAAATGGTGTTACTACAGAATGCTCCAGATTTATTCCACCCATTCTCAACCTGAAATTCCTCTAATTTCAGTCCCCTGACAGTCTTCAGAGGCAGTTCACAACTAGAGTAAACCAGCAGAAGCAACCTGGTCTGCTCCAGCTTGCACACTGCAGCAGTATGGCTACTTCTACCATACGGGTAGGAACTGTGGTATGCAGTCACCTCCTCCACTGTCTAAAAAGATTATTTTGTTCTTACATGGTAGTGGTTTTTCCTGCTCCATTGTGTCCCAGGAAGGAGGTGATTTGGCCTTCATAGAAGTTCAGTGTGAGACCATCTACAGCAACTTTCTTGCCGTCACGATAAACCTTGACCAGGTTCTGAATGGAAACACCGAGGCTCAAATGCACCGGCTCTTCCTCCTTGCAGACTGGAAGAAAGCACAGCAATAGAAAGATATGGTAGGTTTCAACAGAAACTGCATGGGAGTTCTAACAGGCATCACACTCCCCCCGACTGTGTGGAGTTCCAAGAAGAAATGACCTATATGAAGAACTGACTACATTTCTTCCTCAGGAACAGGAATCCTCCACAGAAATTGTCATTTAGTCTTTTCTCTTTTCTGGTCTCATCTGAGCTCTGGAGATCTCCAGTGTCAACAGGGTCAGCAAAAATGGTAGAGGACTTTGCAACTCCATGAGGTTGGAGTGCACATCTGCACTCAAGTGGGCAAAGTACTTTGGGTTTATCTGGATACACCCACCTGATCAAGGTACTCAAACTGTGATAACAAAATGACGATTAATTTCATCTTAGCCATGCCAGTCCTGCTGTCCTCAGACTCTCATTTCAATAAGGCAGACTATAACACCTCATTGCAGAAAGTCTCTCTGTCCAGCCACTTACCCTCTGAAGACCCCTTCTGATCAGGATGAGGGTGCTGCCTGTCCTGTGATTCCTCGCCAAACCAATATGACTTTGTGAAAGGAAAGTACCAGGGTCTGGGAATCCCATACTGGCCTAAAAAGAAAAGCATTACATGAACCTGACTGCATCTGTCCCTTTTCTTTTATTAGATTGCAGGACAAGAAGGGAAAGTACTCCACTCCCAGTAAACCTCTAAGGTGAAGCAGGACCAAGAAGAGTTCTTGATGAAGACACTGACAGAGTTTTGGTAAGAGACATATAACTTCACTTTAGGGTTGAAGTGTGCTGTGCTGAAAGGTGGTACTGATACTCTTAAATTCTCTCTTGCAGCAGTGTCTGTGGACTCAGCAGTTCAGTGAAGGGAACAGCTGAAGTACAGCAAAGCTCCTGGGGCCAGCTCAGCCGTGGCCACAATGGGGCCACATTTCAGTGCTGGGCAACATTTCCTGCTAACAGGAAGCAACAACCTTGCTGTGATGATGGTCTGTGGTTTTCCTCCATGACCTTTCCCCAGCTCTGCTTAAAAATGGGCCAAATTTGCACGTTGGCAAGCGAGTAGGGTGAAAGGATTTACTTAAAAGCCCGAAGACACGATCCTACCTCAGAAGCACACCTCACCTGGGAAGACAGATTCAATGTACCAGGTCATGACTCCATACAGGAACGTATCAAACAGCATCATGACGGCAGATGTGGTGATGCTAAAGCCATCTTCTTCCAAGGGGCTCTCAAAGAAGTTGTCCCACTGAACACCAACACCCTGCTCCTCAAACAGTGCAAAGTACTCGCAACCAAAACCAAAGGCTACTGGAGACAGCAGGCTCTGCAAATGGGAGGCATGAACACGCATTGAGTTTTTCACATCTACTCTCCAACTAGGCAGCTCAGTTCTAGTACAAGGCTTTTTCATCCCTGTGAAAAGTCAAAGTTCCAAGGAGCATCAATGTATTTGCAGAGAGGGAATGGCAGATTTGGTCTTGGTTCCAAGCAAGTCCTGAAACTTCTGCTAGACCTCCCTCCAGATATTTTTGTTTCCCTCTTTTCTCTCCCTTACTCTTTGGATTTTCATGCAAGGGAACAGGTCGCTAACAGTCACCTTCTCCAGACAAGTAAGAAACGCTGTGCAGAGGAAAGATAGCTGCTTCCTTCAGCCTGCCTATCTGGTGGTACAGCATCACAGCACACAGAGATCAAGGCAAGTCCAGCTGCATTACTTCTACTACCAAAGCCAACAAAACCCTCCCAGCACCTTCTAACTGTTCCATCAAACCCAGCCCTGGTAGACTCTTACACTGAAAACTATCCTCCCATTGCCACTTTCCCCCTTCTAACAGAGTCCAGCCAGAGAGCTGCTGAGTGTCACCCTGGTGGAGGCCCAGTACTCAGGATTGTTTTGTCAAGACTTACCGCAAAAATCTTGAGTGAGAAGCTGATATAGTCCTGCCAGGCAACACACAGCACATAAGGCAGGTACAGTGTGAAGTAGACAATGCCCCCACAGGCAGCTGCCAGGTTGGCCCTGGAGAACACGGTGCTGATGAGGAAGCACTGGAGGATGGTCACAACGCCGAAGATCGAGAGGAAAACAAACACCACGCTAGGGTCGCTGTAAGGCAGCAGATTCCCCATCTGGCAAGGGAACAACAAGTGCATTAGGCTTTAAAAGGGCTCTCCAAGGCAGGTTTATTATAAGCAAGCCTGCAAAGCTGCTGCTCAGGGGAAGCTGGGCTTCCTGCAATTTGCACAACAGCTTTCCCAGAAGTGGGGCAGTACCAGAGGCATCTTTTCAAGAGCACTGGATATACTACATCCCCTCCTGCTGCTTTCAGCCACTCAGTCCCTGTTTTGCTCCAGAACACTGTTCCCAAAAAGTGACTGGTCAACACACACCATTAACTCCCCCTCAAGTGTATCAGTGAAGACCACTGCTTCGCAGGCTCCAAAGGCTCTAGAGTCTGCTGCCACAGGGAAAAACAGACAACTCACCTTCAGGATCAGCACCAGCAGTCCTGCACTCATCAGGAGAGGGACGAGGCTGCTAATGAACCAGCTTAACCAAAGGATGCCATTGTCAAGTCCCATGATCCTCATCGTCTCTTTCAGTCGAGCTTCCTTCTCATACACAATGCCCTTAATTATCACAGCCACTGAGTAGATCCAGGCCAGTGTCATGAAGAGGGGCATGGAGCGGCTCATGACGCGCAGAAATCTGAGAAAGTGAAGGAAAAGGGCCAGAAGAGCAGAGTGAGAAACATCACTGAAACTGCAGGTATCACCCAAGGGCTATCAAGAGCATGGTGACAGCTTAGGCTTCACTGCAGCTGATGTGCAGAGCCTGACACAGGATCAGTGTGATCACCACGAGGTGAGGAGGCTGATGGGTTTACAGCTAATTAGGAGTGCGAACTGGAACTACAACAGTCGCCCAGTGGAAGAGTGTTGCAAAGACCTGCCTTGCCTGGGGACTGCTCTCACGTGTCCTCTTTCCACTCACCTGTGTGTTATGAGTCTGCTTTTTCCCCCAGTGCTATTTTTGCTTGCATTAGGTGTGGGGATATGGTCACACCTCAGGAACGTACTTTGAATGTCAAGTCCAGTACTGACAGTCCTTCTCCTCGGAAGGACTCGGCACGTCGTTACATATTCTAAATCCTCCACGTAGGTGCCCCAAATTCCAGGACTAGGAACACTACAGAGATTGCCTCCTCACCGATGATAGGGATGTAAACCATGCCAGGGGAGTGACAAAAGCCCGATACGCCTCCCAAACTGCTCGTCCTGTAGGTTTTGAAGCAGCCTGCATACATACATGTCATCCACGTAGCATGGGTAGGGCATCTGCTGCACATAAACTCCCGTCTTCTTCTCCGTGCCAGTCTGCACCCTGATGATGGCCTGCTCCACCACGTCCTGCAGATAGGCAAAGCCTCCCCAGACGTAGCGCATGTCCTCAAAGGGGTCAGCACGGGGACCGGGATCCCAGTACCTGCACCAAGGGAATGAGACCTTTCCATGAGAAACCCTCGTCACCACATCTGCCAGAGGAAATCCTTCCGTCAGGCAAGACGTCACAGCTCACCCATCCTTGATCTTGTTGGTCCTTTCCACGTTATCGATGTCCATGCGTATCTTGTACTTCACGTGCTGAGGGAGGTCCGTGCTGTCAGGAGCTATTTCATTGAAGACTATGCCAGCCCAGAACCTCCGCTGATCCAGGAGTTCCAAGGACTTGTTTATAAGCCGGGCTTCTGTGGCCACAGGCTCCAGTTTGTCCAAGTTGACACACTAGACAGGAGCAGAATTGGAAGCATTTACTGGATATATCAGTAAAGCAGAATGCTCTTTGTTTACATCTGGGATGGAGGGAAAAAGGAGAACTCTGTAATGGTAATTCCGTGCCCAGGAAAGAGACAGCATTGGACTATTTTGCTGTGGCTTATAGCATTTTGCTGTTTGCTTGTAGCCCAGCAAGCTGAAAGAGATATCACTTCTGCCTGCTTGGGGGTCACCTATTAGTGAGAAATACCCCAGCAAATGTATTTTCTGTACAGGAGGTTAGGTAGCACTAGCAGCTTTACCTACAGGACCTCATCCAAGTATCAATTTCCATGCTTAGTCTTAGTTCCTCTTCTACCACTAAACCAGGTCTGATTCCAAACCTCTAAATATCATGGAGAGACCCAAGGGCTTTGGATCAGGTCCCTGACAGGCCATGGCCTGTTTCTGTTTGCACTCATCTCCCAAGATGATCAGGCAACAAGTACAACTAATTTTATTACTTGCTGTCTTCCCTCAGTTAAAAGCAGCTGCAGGCTTCACTGTGGTGCCCAGCTAAACCCCAGAGCAAAACAGGAGCTGTTACACTGCTAGAGACAGCAGCAACTCTCAGTCACCCAATAACAGAAGGGCAGGAAGCCACACGCAGGAGCCAAAGCAAAAGCTTCCAGAACAAGGCCTACAGCTAGGTTCCTAAATCTATATTTAGGCACCTGAATAAAGGATAATTTTTTTTCACATGCTGTGTGCTGAGCCCTCACAATGCCTGGTCGTGCCCAGAAAACGGGCTGAGGAACTTCCCCTTCCGGAACACCCCACTGCGTGGGCAGAGATCAAGCTCCTGCCACCCCCCCCAGCTTCCTTCTCACAGAAGCAGGATCTCACCTCCATGAAGCGGGAGATGGTCTGGATAGCCCGGTCTGTCTCGTTGAAGGCATCCACCCAGGTATACACAGAGCCATCTTCTGCTCCAAAGTCCTCCGGACGGTTCGACAGGAAACGGGCAACGTCCTCCACTGTCCAGTTGGATGCTGGCAAGTGCAGGTCCCAGAGGGCTTTGCCTTTCAGCAGCGTCTGCAGATGTTTTGTTTTCAAAGGAGAAGCACTTATGAGAATTAATGTTGTACTTACGAGAATTAATGTTAGATCTGCTCTCTCACAATGAAAACACATGGAAAACACCTGTTAAAAAGGTGCAGGGAGAGGCCCTCTGTCATACTGAGAGGATCAGCACAGTGGGGTCCTTCCTCTCCCTCTCCCTCTCCCACCGTGAAGGACACGCCTCTCTAGGTATAAGCTACACCATCCGATGTGCTTTGCAGGCTGGTTGTCTGCCTCCATGTCCTGCCGCCCCTCTCCCAAGGAGAGGGCAGCAGAGAGCCACGCACAGCTCTGCACCCTACAGATACAAGCCAGGGAAGAGGGAGATGCAAGCTCAGCAGAAACCCACTCGGCTGGTGCTGGTTGCCAAGCTCTGCTCCTAGCTGGGATGGAGAGGGACTGTGGCACGGCTGAAAGCTCAGCTGTCACTGTGCTGAGCAGAAATACCAGCGCCAGAGGCCAGATGAATTTCTTATAGGTTTTGCTGTTGTGTCACCAGGACTGGCTGAAGCAGTCCTGCACAGCCACGATGTAATGCCTTTGTTCTCCTGGCTGGGACAGTGCTTTTTTCACCTGGCTTAACTCTGGTTTTCTGAGGACAGGCTATTGCGTGCACAACACAAGTGCAATTGCAGGTAGAAGCCCTGTCACTGAAGCAGGCACCAGTCCACTGGGCAGACAATATACGGCCAGGCAGGAAGGGAGCAAAGGGGATAGCTGAACTGAAGTCAGGGAGGTAAGAAAAAAAATAAAAATAAAAAAAGCCTGCACAAGAGAAAAAAACTGCAAAAATCCATAAGAATAAAACCACGAAATGGATTTTATGCCCCCCCCCAAAAAAAAAAGCAGAGAGTTTCCCCATGCTCTGCTGTTACCCACAAATAGTAGTGTGTCACACTTAAAAAAACAGCACTGCAAACTGGAAAAACAGACCAAGCTAGCAAATGAAAACATACAATAGGAAATCCAAGCAAACAGGATTGGATGTGCTCTCTCTCTTCTCACTTGGCCTCTCAAGGTTAGCTTGTGCCACCATCCCCACAGGAAGGACACCACAACTCCAGGGAAGTGGCTCAGCCTCATCTCGTTCAGCGCCCATGTAAAAGCTCCTTAACTCCAGGAGCACATATTGTCCTTCCTAAAGTGAGCAGCCACATTAGCACGAGCTAAGTGGCAGAGATGGGCAAACACAGCACATTCCTGCATTTCAACAGGAAGAAATATGCCAAACAGATTGTACAGCCCAGATGGTGACTGGTCAGCCCAGCAGCCTCAGTGGCTAACAACCAGCAAAGGACCTACCTCTCTCTTGAAAGCACACACAAATAGGAAACCATGTTTCAGTTCATTCACAGACCTATTAAAGCTGGAAAACACCTCTAAGATCATTGAGTCCAAACCTTAACCCAGCACTGCCAGGCCCACCAGTAACCGATGCCCTCAATTACCACAGCCAAGTGCCTTTTGAACACTTCCAGGGATGGTGATTCCACCACCTGGACAGCGGGTTCTGATACCTGACCACCCTTTCAGTGAAGAAATTCTTCCTAATATTTGATCTAAACCTTTCCTGGCACAACTTGAAGTCGTTTTTTCTCATTCTTACTGCCTGGGAGAAGAGACCAACCTCCACCTGGCTACAGCTTACTTTCAGGTAGCGGCAGAGAGCAATAGCATCTCCCATGAGACTCCTTTTCTCCAGAATAAACAAACCCAGCTTGCTCAGCTGGTCCTTACAAGACCTGTGCTCCAGTCCCTTCATCAGCTCTGTTGCCCTTTTTGGGACATGCTCCAGCACCTCCATGTCTTTCTTGCACTAAGGGGCCCAGAACTGAACACAAGATGCAAGGTGCAAGTGGTCCATGCTGCACCTCTAAACTGAGTGGGATGCTGTCTGGGAGCTGCCTGGGCACTGACAATGAAGAACTCTTGCTTGTGTGGTCATCAACAGGTGACAAGAAAGGAACCCCTGTTACTACACCAATACAGAAGAGAGGTTGCTGGGACAATCAAGAATTAACTCTCAGAGACAGCAGAGTTTAACAAGCAACACAAAACAGGAAACCAGAAAAGCACAGAGCCCGTTAAAAAAAAAAAAAAAAAAAAAAAAAAAAAAAAAAAAAAAAAAAAAAAAAAAAAAAAAAAAAAACAACAAAACAAACAAACCCAAAATAAACAAAAAACTCCCCCAAACATTCACTTTTCAGAGGACATGACTGCAAATCAGAGTTTTGGACCTTGACTTTATGCCTGAACTCTGCAACAAACTGTTCAGCTTACAGTTAGTGGCCACAGTTCTCAACTATGATGCTACCCATCTACAATGTTAACTTTAATAAAGCCAAGGGAAGTACAGGAGGCTGACACTCCATTTTGAGGGAGAAGTTCAACAGGACAGGTCACAGATTATTCAGCACAGCATTACACTGGAGTACAAAAGGGAAAGAATATCAAGGCTTTTAAGACCTGGGGAGGTCTCTGTATACAAACAGCTGCCGGTATCAAAAACTGTGATCCCCAACCAGCTGCCTTGCAGAGACCTCTGGAAAAGCTTCTCTGCAGTTGTCCCTCAGTTGCTCAACCCCAGTTTTACATTGCTGTGCTTCCAAAGACGACAGCGCAGGGCACCAAGCTCCACCCCTCAGAGCTGCACATGAGGAACCATGGTGATGTTTTCATTACATGTTAGGGCATGAAACAGCCTGTTTCCCAACAGGGGCAGATTAGAAACAGGTGTTAAACGTGCACTACTCCCATTTACAGGAGATTGTTACACGGAGAAAGGAATGTCAAGCACAGTGCAGGATTAGTACAATCACAATCTGTTTCGAGAAGCAGTCCCATCCATAATGTCTATCTGCCCAATCCAGCACTGAAGGACCACGAAGCACCATCTAAAATAAATATTTCATCACTTATTGCAAAAAAACAACAGTAGTAGTTCTGGCAAGGACAGTATACTGACCCGAATGAGATCCATTTCCTGACTACTTTCCATAAATGTCCAAATCTTTGGGCTTATCTCCTCCCACATTCCCCCGAGGTCACGAAACACACCCAGCTCCTGGAATGTCCTGTTCACCTGTCACAAAGAGGAGAGGAAGTTTATTTCCAAAAGCTGGCTGAGACCCGCCGTGGGATGAGAGGCTGCACTGAGCCTTCAAAAGTAAGTGCATGGGAGGTGGGAGACTGTGCTTTTGCAGGCAATCCTTTCCAGGCTTGCATTTGGGCCCAGGGTAACTAGACCAGATCAGCTGCGCAGCCAGAGGACACAGCTCATGCTACGTATCAGAGGACAGGGCTAGAGTTACCTCAGACATGACCTTCCTTACAGCTGGTGTGTCTGGAGTGTACAAGATCTTCCCAATCAGCAAGGGTTTCAAAGCCCTCCAGATAATCCTGGAAAGCGGGCTGGATTCCAAGTTCTTCATTAGCTCATTGCAGTAGGGTGCTGATGAAGAGAGCACAGGGGTGAGTAGCTGAACAGCACATTGACAACTGCAAAAGGCATAAACCCCACTTGTGTGGGCTTCAAGGACAGTTACAACTGAAAGATTTCAGCATTTTTCAGACACAAAACCCCTCCTGTACCACAAAGCTCTGCAAAAAGCCCCTTTCAGCCCAAGCCTGCCCAGTGAACATGGAGCAACCAGCTCACCTCCACCATTAAGAGCCACAGTACTGGTTCTGCAATCCTCCCAACAATCCCACTGCACTGCACAAGCAAAATTTGTCCAAAAAAGGACAGACTTCCAAAGGCTGCACATGACTGTGCTCCCTCTCCCCATGAAGGAAGTCTACTGCATGGCTTTCTGTGGACTCTCCAGAAGGTCCTTGGGAATCTCTGCATGTTGGTACCTTCAGTGACCTTAGGGGCACATGCAGGATGACATGCACATGCCCTTCTGAAACAACTGAGTATACTGTCCCTCAGGACCCTCTGCTTTCATCTGTGGAAGTTTGGGAAACGCTAGTGATGACAACCATGAAGCAGACGGGACCTTAGGCCATGCCAGGGTTACACTTACTTGTGGAGTTGTCATAGAAGTTAATGACATCATCTTCGGTGCTGTTGCCTCCAAACAGTGCTTTGTAGTTGTTGTCCTCATACCAGTTAAGGGATTTAATTTTGAGCCCTCCACCTTCAGGATGGCCGCACACAATGCGCGACACAGCCTGGTAGATCTGCGTAGAGGAGTTTGAGGCATTCACGTTGGTCAGGAACATCACCTCCTGCCTCATGTCGCTCCAGCTCTTCATAGTCAGCAACTGGAGGGGAATATGGTAGAAAAAAAAATGGAAGCAAGTATAGAAGAGGATTAATGAAAGGAGAAGATCTTTCTGTTGCTCCTTCAAATCACACATCTGGTTTTGAACAGATGAGAATGCCCTTGAACACAACAAGGGTGAAGACCTTTAATAACATTAATAACAGAAGGAGGGGCAAAGAAAACCTCCACTCTTTGATGGACTTGGAGGGAAACATAGTTAATAGAGATGAGGAGAAGGCTGAGGTACTTAACACCTACTTTGCCTCAGTTTTTACCAGTAAGACAGGTGGCCCTCAAGGCAACTGGCCTCTGGAGCTGGTAGACAGAGATAGGAAACCAAATAGCCCCTTTGTATTCTGGGAGGAAATAGCTGGTGACTTACTGAATCATCTGGATCCTCACAAGTCTATGGGACCAGACGGGATCCATCCTAGGGTGATGAGGGAGCTGGCAGAAGAGCTTGCCAAGCCGCTCTCCATCATCTTCCAACAGTCCTGGCTCACTGGGGAGGTCCCATATGATTGGAAGTTGGCAAATATCACCCCAATCCATAAAAAAGG